AACGGGTTTCCTGGGCCGAATTCTACTCTGAGGGTGAGGGGGGGGGCGGAACTTTTCGCGACAGAAGACGAATAAACCGGAAAATACTAAACAAACCCTGGGCAGTGGGAACACCATCGAGGTAGCAGTCAGTTTGGATAGAAATTCTAACCATGCATATGTAGTGAAGTGGGATGATGCGATATTACAGGGAAAAAATAAAAGACAATCCATTGGGTTGAATTGGATTCGATTGAATCCGCTGAGAGCACCAAGGTACATGATTGACAAACTCATTTGGGGTCTAGAGCTTAGCCTTGATAACTGTAAACAAAGAGACCCAAGCGAATCAGCCATACCAAATCATACATAATTTTTTCGGCGATTCCACCAAAGGATTGGAGGCCGCTGTGTGCTCGAGTCTCCCCACCAGGACCGTCACCAGCGACTTTTGCTAGTACGGATTATTCGAGACTTTCCGTAAAAGGGGATCGTGAGATTTGCCTGACCGAATAGTTTCAGACCATCTAAATGTTTTCGCCTGATATATCTACTCATTTTCCATAAACGTCTCTTTTAACATTGAACCGATTCCGTTGTCCATTTTTACTTTCAGCTTTTGTTTGATCGTGCAATCGTTCTCATGATCTAAACATCTGAGTAGTTTTTGACAAGAGTCTGATCACTTTTTTCATGATTTAACCATATAGATAAACAAACTTAAGTATGGAAGTGCACAATGAATGGTTAAATGATTTCACTTGAATTCAGTAATCAGTAATAGTGAATATCTATACCTTTTTCAATTTAAGATGTCCGAATATCAATTTAAGATATCATGTTGCTATGTGGATATTACGATATTGCAATTGCTCCATCGTTTCACATTGTTTTCTACTTGTTATGATGCTCTTGTTGTCACGTGCAATCCATCCGTATGGTGATGGCATGCCTGCTGTACAATCGAAGTTCACTGTTCCTGCCTAAAACTCGCGGCTGTAGACAAAGTGTGAATTATCGCTTGTTGCGGTTGAACTATCCGACCGATTGACAAATGAACCCGATCGGTCGTGTGATTTTCGGGTCGGCTCAGGAGAAGGATGAATCCGACGCTGCTTAAGTGTTGGTAGAAATTTACCACAGGAGAATCAAATGTGAAACGATACGCCATGTGGGATAGTTGGGATGGATAAAGTTCAAGCGATGATTAAACTGGGTCAACGTTTGACTCGTATAAGATACGTGAACTATTTTTCGAAGGGGGTTCGGTAAATGGATAAGGACAATAAAACTTTGAATTTGTCTTAAATACGGACTACAATATCCACTAATACAGTCCCACACCACACTCTTCTTGGTATTTCCCCAACTGGCGTTTTTGCGTTGAACGATCTACTAACTACCTCGGAGATAGCATTCCGAGGAGAGAACAAATATAATGGAAAAATGCATGTTTATTTTACAAAAATTGTTCGATATGTTTTCCATCCTGCTGTTTGTACAGCAAAATACGGCAAAGATAGTTTTCTTCCACCTTCAGAATAGTAACAGAAAAGTTGTCAAGGTCTTTTATGCTCGAAAATTCGAATATGATCATCACGAGAGTCCCTTGTCACGATTTAACGGACAACAAATACGGAACACAGCTATAAATTACGATGGTAGACTGAGTTATTATCAAGAGATGATTGCATACGTATTGATGAAACACGACTTCCATTCTATCCGTCTCATAAAAGTGAGAAGACGGATGTGAGTAACACTGTCACTGAATCTGTTATGGTTCCGAGGTAATGATTGCGTCATACTAGATGAGGCCTCATCACGCCAAGTATGACAGGTTTACCGTTCACCGTCATTTCCCCACACTTTCGCCTTTTTATCAGCTCGATTGCCGCTCACCAAATTTAGCTAGACTGTTTGGTGACTGGCCTTATTCCCCAACAAAAATGATTATTAACACGTATATCCATCTTTCTAAAACTAGACTCGTTCAAAGAAACCATGATCTCTTAGGTGCGACGAAATCGCATAAACGTTTGGTACAGGTGTGAATGTGAGCACGAAAAATGGATGAACAGCAGGGATTTTCTCGCAGGTCCTCAAGCTTTATTGACATGCTCCTATGCTGATGAATTCCATCCTTTAAGAAGGACCTCTGCCGTATGGATACCAAGTTATTTAGTCGAGTTATCATTTCTGGTTATCTCCAAAACCAACCGATTGCACAGGCTCGTATACGTGTTATCCCCACTGTGCTCGCATGCAACAGCTGATCGCACGGATCCCCTGTTACAACACAGAAAAAGTAACTGCATAGTATGTGTTTGCTCAATAATCGAATGTTAATCAATAAATGCGTAAATATCATTGTGATGAAAGCTCAAACCATGCCGCAGGTTGCTTGCATCGGATGTCACGTGACTAGTCGGTCTCGCTATCGAACTTATTCCAGTATTGACGGACCTAATGATTATTGATCCGTATTTCACCCATTGACCCTGCTAATCGTGTTCACCTTACTACAGCCGGGCCCGTTCCAGTTCAGTGGCATGTGTTTTTCCCTAATCAGTGGAGTATAGTCATAATAATTATTTATTTAGGAAACTAGCAGTTAAAACAATAATAATGATAGTAATTTATTGAATAGTAATTTTGAGTGATTTGTGGGTCGATCTTAAACTTAAATGGAGCTAATGGTATTGGAAGTAAGGGTAACACTTTCATGTAACTTATCCATTAACTTCCTTATTTTTTTCTATTGCGGGTCAATATTTTGTTTCTTAAGCATAGCACCCTGCAACACCGGTACAATTCATTATTTTCACTTTAAGCTTGGTGCTTAGGAGTTAATCGATGAAATATTCTTACAAATATGATTCATATTTTCTTGATTATTCACAAACAGGAGTTTGAACCATTCATTCTCAAAATATTTTATTGTTCCACTTGTTACGGCCATTCAGTTATCGTCTCCCTGTCAGATCGAATGCTGTGATGTGATTGGTCCGCGCCAGATAGTGGAAAGTAGTAGTACTCAACCTCACTCGTATTGCGATTGGTCACCTTAAAAATCAGACACACACACACCACGTCTTCTCAACTGTTCACGGGCAAATTCCTGCGCATTGCTCATCACGTTTGTCTTCACTCACCCCTTTCTACCGGACGATTGTCATGCGTATCCATTACAGTCAACACCCCTTCAGCCCCAAATGAACAACTCCTACTCAAAATTCCCCATCTGCTTTCAAATCCGGCCTAGAACGCTCCAAAAACAATTGGATTTGTGTTTAGTTCCTCGATAACATTGTGGCGAAACAGATTGTTTCAATCTGTTTGGGGAATTTGCTGTTTAAGCCTAATCTATTCATGTTTCGGCTGTGATTGTGTATCGAGTCTAAATGGCAGGGCTGTGTCGTCTTCAAGACCCGTAAAATTTGCTCGCACCACACGAGATGACGAAATCAGTCTATACGACAGAGCACGGTACTTTGCTATCACAGAACAGCCCCACGTGGAAACCTGTATCGCTCGGTAATGGGCCCAATATGATTTTCGCTGCTTCTGTGGAAGCCAGCACAGATAATACAACTGTGAACATGTCCACCGCTGAGGTGCCCGCAATATCGACATCAATTGCAATAGTAGCTACCGGTACAGAAGCAGCAGCAGCAACAGCAACAACAGCTCCGTCCACGACAGCCATAACAACAGCAATGACCCCAACAATGTCGATTGTAGCCGGTCTGGTCTCGGACTGTTACAAAAGCGATAGTTTGGTTCCTCCGACAACAACCTTCCTTCCTGACGCCAACCATATTTCCACACCCGATACAACTACCGCAGTGGCTGATAAAGTTGGGCCAACGAGTACATGTGAAGACGACAAGTCTGTCGGACTCAAACCGAACACAATCGCGAGAATGCAGTCGAAAGAATGCAACATAACTAACGTGTTCGTTAACGGTAAGTCAGTAGTTATAGAAACCACAAAACATGTTTCCTAGTGTGGTGAATTCGCTCGGTCGTTTCCGCGCCACAATGTTTTTTGTTTTAAACCTCGATCGGTTTGCGATCATTTCTAACCAACACGGAAGAGGTTTCGGAAATATATGTTGAAAAACCGCGCACTATCGAAAGTTTGATGTGACAAGTTTGAGTGACAAGAAGTATAGTTAAGTATGAAACCGAGAAAGATTGCTGTCTCGTACAGTAAGAAGAGCGTGTTTCCATGAGCTGTGTCGAATAAAATGCGTTTTTCTAACATGTGTTAAAAAATAGGAACAGAATGTTCGTACCATTCATTTCCATTTTGGCTTCATTATGATCAACCGTAAAGTACAGTTGTTGTTGTTGTTGTTGTTGTTGTTGTTGTTGTTGTTGTTGTTGTCGAAAATGAATCGTCTGTAGCTGCTCAGCCGAAGAAGCTCAAGGGGACTGTGTTACGTGCGCGGTTAGGGAGAAAAATATTTTCCAGGGTTGTCAAAATCCCCAGAAATATCATCTGTTTTTTTCTTCTTCTGGGCTATTCAACTCGCAGTGCAATCTGACGGAATTCATCGAGTCGTTTTACCATCTGCGCACAGTTTCTCGTTGAAACAAGGAAAGTTGGCAGCTATTTCGAGCTTCCTTTTCATACCATATCAGCAGATAAATGGTATGTAATTTTCTATACGGGATGATGATCATGCAATTTTGGTGATTAACTTATCCCCCCGGGGTACGGGTGTTCGAATTCCACGGCTTCTGCCTAACTCCCTCCCTATGTTCCATGTGTTGTACTAGCCTCTAGACCCTTCCTAATAGTTGTTTGTATCATCATGATATGTACTCGATAAAAAGAAAGAAAACAGAATAGAACTAAGCAGATCCAAACCCGGTATATCAAGTAAATAATCGTGCAGACAATTTTCCATAACGATAATATAGCCGAGTAAAGGCTCTCTCGGGGACATATTGCAGTCGATTTTGGTGAGATTTGATCATAGAACCTTGGGACGTATACAGCGGCAACCTGTACAATTGCCTCATCCTGTGTCCGTAACGTCAGTCGCTTACACACACTTCAATGAAGATGAGGTCGTCCAATGTTAGATGACTACTGTTCCTAATGAACTCAACTAGTTCATGCCTGGTTGTTCAAAGCTTGATTGGACAGAACGGGAGCATGTGATCGAAATCCGCAGGGAACAATTAAGGTAGTGTGTGTCAATTTTCCATTTTGTATTCATCGTAAAGTTAGAATTGTATTTCTCATTTTCGTATTTTAAAATTCACATACTTTGCAGAATATCAAGCTTGGATTTGTCCATTCGATTGCTCAGATGCACCAAGCACTCCTGATGGTCTTAAGTGTGGGTTTCATTCCTTTGGAGATCGTTAATTCCCTATGAAATAAATGCATTCAAACGCAATGGAAATGTTTTTGATGACCGGCAAAGAGCACTGGACAGCTGTCTCGTCCTGTTTGGGGCTCGTGAGCAGTGCGCACTTTTTGTGTCCCTGTCAGGACTCGAACCGCGGACATTCGGATCGGGACTTCAAACCCTTACCCCTGAGCCACATGGTCGGGTTCAGACAGGGACACAAAAGATATGCACTGCTGACGAGTCCCAAACAGGATGAAACAGTTGTCCAGTGCTCTTTGTCGGTCATCACAAACATTTCCATCAATAGAATTTCCTCTGTCTCTCCGCTTGATTGTGTTGCCGTGAAGCAAGATGCCACCAACATGATCTTTGCAAGGAGTCTACTATACCTCATGCTTTATAGGTCGATCATGCTTTAGAACTCAGCTGATCTCCAAATTTTTCCTTCATATATCTGGAACTCACCATGGACAGTTGTGATGGATAATGTCTTGGCGGTCCGTCTTGATTTTCAGTAATCCGTTCTTACTAATCACAATCATTCTACTGAACTATAAGAGAAATATTTTGTCATATATTGATGTGGACTAGGAAACCCTCGCCTAGCTTTCCTTACTGCAAACTGGTCCCACCTTCAAATCTGTTCATGACAAGCCTAACGAGCTCATTCGTCGCTCTTTACCTAACCCCTTAAAGCTAATTTACGATAGGTTACTATTGATTATATGCGGTTGAGTAGCCCCATTGAAATATTATCTGGTTTCATTCTATGCAACACCGTTTAACAGTTATTCCCATCTGGTCCTCATCTCACGCGCTGAAATAGAATCTTTTGAAATGCATGGATGTTCCTTTTAGCGTTCGATACGGCACTGGTTATCTACCATTCTTCACCAGCTCCGGTCATCTTATTCATAAACTTATCATTGAAAGTGACCCCGACATAACCCTTTCTCACAATCTTTTATGGTCCTATCACTTCACACATTAGCGTCCATGATAAAGTTAGTAAATTATCTTTGGGTGCCTTTAGATCTCAAAAACCGGGGGTTCTTCAGCATTTGCTGCCCAAATTTCTTGCTTCTTATTTTTTGCCCAATGTTGGTATTAATACCCCCTAATTCTTCACTGGTCTTGGAGGCTACAACTTCGATCCGGCTCTTATTTTCTATCCAGAGTCAATGGTATGCCACCCTCTATCATTTTCGACTTCATCTTAAGCAAACCTTATGACGCATATGATTAGTTTTGCAAAATACTGTTGTCTAAGCTCAAACACGGTTTGCACAATGTGATTCCCGAAGCCGTATCCAAATCAAGCCAACAGTGCGCTCTAATCCTCCGTTGTGGATGGGATGTTCAGTGAAAAAAGTTATTAATTGTGCTTTGGCATACATGCTATTAAAATGGATTTAAAGAAATGACAGATGATAAATAGACAATAATGAGGAGGACCGAGAACGGAAAGCCAATGTTCAAAATTGCAGCATGAAAATTTACATGAAACTCAGTATCAGTTCGTTTGATATTCGTCCCCTGGAAACCAATAAACGAGAAAGGTAATGTACAACGGAACTGAGGAAAGCTGTGGTGCGAGTACATAAAGGTTTAAAACTATTGAGGGCAACAAAGTTGAAATGAAGCAAGAGAGTCTAGAGTGCAAAGGATGTGATGCTTCGTACAAGATCGAGCTACACAGACTATCACACGCCTTAGGGTGTCAGTTGACAATGAAGTCGACCAACATCTCACTAGGTATTGCTCCATATCTAAAGATGCTTTTCAGTAAGCGTCTGATCAATATGAAATCTAGCCTCCCGGGTTATGAGTCGGTTGGAAACTTTCACAACTTGATTATTTGTTGTATGGGAATAGATGGGTTGTGCTATATCGTGTAAATTCAAAATGATAAACGGTCTTATCAGCTGCCCGGTGGTCGAGTGGGTAGTATGGTTGCGTTTTGCCTGTGATGAGGTCCCGGGTTCGATTCCCAGTTTGGTTGGATCGATCGATTCGCACTGCTGAGATCCAGCCTGGTCGAAAACGTTATCCAGTGCTTTCCAGATTTTCAGCTCATACCTCATTTACACAACTAATTCATCATAAACAATAGAACTGAGGAAGATAACGGGGAAGCAGTAGGTCCTATGGTATAAAACGTAAGAGAAAATATATTTAGAAATGACGTACAACGGTACCCTTAGATATCCAAAGCGTGAAATGTAAAAGGTAAGCTTTCTAACTTTAAAAAAATGTTTGTTGTACGTGGTAGACCATTTGAGGTCAGCAGACAGTTAACATCCAACTTATTTGAAGTGTTATGACCTTTCAACTTTTAAGTTGTTCATTAAGATGTTGGTACCAGGTGATCCGGAATGTGTTGATGACCTGCGATTATTGGAAAACAAAAATGTAATGCATTTGCTTAGGCTTAAAGAATGGTTAAAACCATGGGGTCATTCCAAAATGGAACTTATGGCTGATTGAAGGGTTTTTTTTAATGAATCACCAAGTACTATGTCATCGAAATACTTGAATGTGAACACGGGTGGGGTGATTGGTAAGTTTGGGATGTAAAAGGAGAACAGAATTTGCGAAACCCGATGCCAATCCAGATATCGTCCCTCTCGTGGACAGAGACCTAGGAAAAACACCGTTTCCTACCTTATCCGCGTTTTAGTCAATCGTTCACTCCTCAACGATAAATCCCGTTTTTTGTACTAACTTGCAGTGCTTTGTTTCCCTTTTTTGTGTTCATTTTGCCACCAACTGAAGTTGTTATATCAGGGCAGTTTTTCACTTCCATGTGTTCGGTGAATCACACCAAANCCAAAAAGATCATCGGATTTTGTTGCAGTTAGTAATATTTTGACTTTGATGTAAGTTGACTAGAATAATAGTGATAACAAACAAGAACAAATTTGCTGCGAAGCTCCGTAGATGTTTGTATTTTTTGACTTCGCTATCCGTTGTAAGCTCTCGGTTTATCGACGAAGAGTGACTAACGAATGGTTCAACGATGATGACCCTGATTTACAGTTCATTTTAGTTAATGTTGTGTAACTGATGACATAAATCCTATCAGTTGCAGAACATTTGAATTAATTCCGCACTACTTCCAGTACTTCCAATGCAGTATGTGCCGCAAAGGACGGTAAAGACTACATTAATGGGCACAGTAGCACTCTAGCAGCAGCAGCACCAGCAGCAGCACCAGCACCAGCAGTAGAAGTAGTAGTAGTAGTAGTAGTAGTAGTAGTAGTAGTAGTAGTAGTAGTAGTAGATAGTTTCATTGCTATTGTTGTGATGGTTTACAATCAGAATGTAAAATTACCATTAGAAGCAATGCGAGATCTGACGCCTGAGCACCCAGATATAGATATGGTGCACTGGCCACGTTCAACTGTGATTTTATAGTTTTGATCTTTATTTTCGCTGGTTACCTGAGCTTCGCGAACGTCTCATCCCCAGCCCAGATAGCTCCTTCGGGGTTTATGATGATGAAGTCGCTTGCTAAGGTGATGAAATTTCTGCTACCAAGCTTTTCCAATTAAGCAATCAGCAAAAAATAAAACTATACATCAGTATCCCTCTCTCTCTCTCTCTCTTATGGCCTCATCGGAAACCTTTGCTTCGAG